CCCTGCCTGGGGATGGCCTGCCTTCCGTGTTCCCAAGAGAGGTTGGGTGGGTCTGGAAAGGCTTTCAATCCATCCAGGAGAATAGAGCCGGAAGGGACCCCCGGAGGTCTTCTAGCCCAACCCTCTGCTCAAGCAGGAGACGGGCCTGGCTGTGCGGCCTCTTCTTTCGTTTGGAAGCCTGGACCAGATCCTTCCAACAAACAGCCTCGGCTTCCTGACCGAGCTAACCAGATAGGATTATGCGCTGATGGCAACCGACGTAAGTCTGGGTGACTCACAACAATGAAAAAAATCATAGTATCCAAGGAAAGAGGGAAGGTCGCAGGGGCCCTGGGAAGGCGGCTCTCCGGGGCCTCAGCCCAGGACCCCCGAAGGCCAGCCGGAGGTCGGGGTGACATCCAAGGCCTCCCTTGCCCTCCCACCAGTCTGAAGGGGGGCGGGGGGTGCCAGCCTAGGAAGCTGGAGGTAGGCAGGAGAATCTGGGCATCCCTCTTTGGGAGGCAGCTTCCCGGCAGGCCCAGATGAGCTGAGCAGAGGCTGATGGTTGTGTTGTTGTGGTGTGGTGTGATTGTTGCCGGCAGGGAGAGGACGGCCACTTCCTGGAAAGGGGGAGCCCAGCCAGCCTGCAGGGGGGGGGGGTGTTTCCAGGCAGCCATGGAGGAGGATGGCATCTGTGGCAGGGAGCTGCCACAGGGCACCGTGGACAGATGCCCCCCCCCTTGTGGGAATGCCGGTAAGAAACCCTGCAGGCGCCCCCCACCCGCAGCCCAGCCACTGCAGTTCCCTGCTTCCCGCCCCCCCCAAGTCATGGGATGCCCCCCCAGCTGCAGTCAAGGTGGTTTCCCTCTGCGAAAGGAAGGGGGGCGAAAGAGGCTTTGATGTGGCCAATCAGGGGAAATAATTGAGGGAGGGTCCCACCTCGCCTTCTGCAGCTGGGAGGGGGAAGGGGGTGGACGGGGCAGGCTGCCCTCACCTTCACCAACCACCCAGAGTAGGAAAGGCCAAGGGCAGAAGGGTGATATTTACAGCAAACAGTGGCCCCTGATAAGGAAGGCCTCTCTGGATGGGCGCTGCCCCCTCCCAGCCATGCCCCTGACCCCCCCCCCTTCCCCGTCAGCCCAGACCCTACCAACACAACGCTCCCAGGCTGAGCCAGGTTGGAAAAATCTCCTTTCGCCTTGCAGGGTGGGGGGCAGTGGGTGGGGAAGGGGCTGGGGACCCCTCTCACCCCAGGGCTCCTTTGGGGGAGGGGGCCTCAGCCCCCTAGGAAGGGCGAAAGAGCTGTGGGCTCTCAGGGGAGCCATGCTCTGCAACGGCTGCCCTCAGCAGTGGGGGGCTGGCCCCTCCTGGGAGGCAGAGAAGCTGGGGAAGGGGAGGCGGGGTGGGGGGGAGCTGCAGAGGAACACGGAGGCAGGGGTTTATGGATCCCCTCCACAGGCATCGTGGCTTGGAACAGGAAGCGCCACCTTCTTCTTCCATGTGCCACCAGCCTTCTCCCTACCGTGGGCCTCTCCTCCAGCTGTGGCCCTGCGGAGTGTCGCAAGGGGACCAATGCTCAACCCTCCTCATATCGAGCACCCGGTACTCATTGCCACAGGGCGGGAGGCTCAAGGCGTTCTGTGCCCCAGCAGATGCCACTCCCAGCCTCCCTAAGCTGTAAACCAGGGTTAGGGAGCCACGGCTCCGGAGGGCCCACCGTGCCGTGTCAGGCAAGGTCATCATCACAAACGTGGCTACGAGCTTTCTCGAACCTGGTTAAGCGCCAACCCGGTTTCCTCCGCAGGTTCTGACGGAGGAATTGAGCCTCCTTGGGATGCCAACCCTGCGTGGGGCACCAAGGCGAGTGGGCACAGCGTCCTTCAGCCCTCCCCTCCCGGGAGGAGCCCACCCTCCTCCTTCCCTGCCCCACAGGAGCAGCCTCAAGAGACACCCCCCCTCCCTCCTCCCAGGGGCGATGTTTTGAGTCCCAACCCTGGCCTGTTTACTAAACCTGGCCTGCTGCCGGCTACAGCCCTGGTGTTTGTGGCCAAACACTCAGCCGTGGCCTGGGCACGAGGGGAGGCTGCCCTGATTACAGTCAGCAGGAGGAGGAGGAGAACCCACTTCCGGCCACTGGGCTCCGACTTTCGCTTTGAGAGAAGGGGGGGAGGGAGAGAGAGAGAGACGGAGAGGAGAAGAGAAAGACACGGGAAGGGAGAGAGAGATCTTGGCTCTTGCTTCATGGATGAGTCTCACCGTCTGTCTGTCTCTCTCTCCAGTTGGAAGATCTGGGAGGAGACGGGTGGAAGAATCCAGGGGAGCAGGTGCCCTCCAGGCGACTGGCACCCAGGGCCACCTCTGCTGGGAACAGCCGGTCCAGACTGACCGCTCAGCCGCTCCTGAGGCTGCAGGGTTCTGGGTGAGGAGAGGACAGCCGAGGAGGGAAGGTGCTCTGGACAGCAGACTCAGCCCCCACCTCACCGGACACCAGTGGGGGCCTTTCTCAGATGCCCATCGGCCCTAACTGGGCAGGGGCCACCAAGACGGCCGCCCCCTTGGCCTCCAGAGGGGCTTCCAAGGACCCTGGCGCACAGTGTGTGGTCCCTGGGTGGCATCCCTGCAGGGGGCCCAACCCTGAGGCAGGCAGGGGCCCAGGGCCAAGGAAGGGGTTGGCATCAGCCCTGAGGTCACAGAGGCCTTGCTCTCCCCCTTGCCAGGCTGCCCAGCCGGGGGAAACCGACCCCATGGTGCCCTGGGCCACCCTGGCCCTCGTGGCCACCAACGTGGCCTTCTTCTGCCACCCCGTCCACCCGCCCAGCGGGACCTGCCTGAGCGTGGCCTCTGTGTGGGAGCAGGGCCAGTGGGGGCGCCTGCTCTGGGCCCCCTTCCACCACCTGGGCCTCCTCCACCTGCTCCTCAACATGGGCACCCTCTTCTGGCTGGGCTGGAGCATGGAGCAGGAGGTGGGCAGCCTCCTGACGGGCACCCTGCTGCTGGCCCTGGCCCTGCTGGGGGGCCTGGTGCACCTTGGGCTCAACTCCCTGCTGGCGCTGGTGACCGGGCACCACTGGTACTGGGAGCACTGCGCGGTGGGCTTCTCAGGTGCAGCCCCCTCTCCCTGGGGTCTCAAGCAAACGGGGTGGGTGGGTGTTGGAGACCCCTGGAGAAGCCCTGAGCCAGCCGCAGGTCCCTGCGCCTGGCTGCCCTGGAGGGCACAAGGGGAAGAGAGCGGCTGCCCTCCCTTGCAGCGTCCCAGGGTCCCCCCTGGGGGGGGGTCTTACCGCTGTGTGACGCAGGGAGGGGTTGCCCCTTCCTCAAAGTCCCAAGGGGCTCCCCTCCAGAAGGGCGAGGACTGTCGATCGGGGCAGTTCGTCCTGGGAGCTCTGTGGGTGCCAGGAGGGGCAGGGGGTGCTGGTGTGGGGGTCCCTCCCTCCTCACAGGGCCCCCTCCCGTTTCCGTCCTGCTGCGCTGCAGGGGTCCTCTTCTCCCTGGAAGCCATGGGCACGCAGGCGGAGGCCTTCCCCGTGGCCACCATGGCTACCGGCATCGTCATGACCACCAGATGGCTCTGCATTGTGGAATGCCTGGCCCTGGCGCTCTTCTGCCCCAGGTAAGGGGGGGGGCCCTGGGGTGGGCTCAGGCCAAGGCCCCCTCTTCAGTTGGCGGGGGGGGGGCTCTGAGGCGTCTTCTCCCACCTGGCTGCAGCCCTGAATCTCCAAGGCCGACGGGATGGGTCTCTTTAAAGCCACCCATCTCCACAGGAGGGGAGAAGCCTCTTTTCCATCCCTGGTCAGATGGAGGTGGTCCCCGGAGGCCTCTGCTCCCACTCCCCCGTCCTCAGTGCTGCCCTCAGTTCACCTGCCTTTAAGCCCCCCCATCCCCACTGGCAACCAGAGTGGACCTTGGAATCCCCCTATGGGGCTCCTGGGCATCTTCCCCTCCCTGCCACCGGGAGCATCTTCAGGGCCCCTGATCTTGTGGGTTGGAATTAAAGCATTGAGGGGGTCCAGCCTCTCGGTCCGGCCTGGGCAAGAGCCAACCTCATGGCCAACGGAAGCCGCTTGGAGGCCCTCGAGCGATGTGGGTTGGGGGCCTCGGATGCAGCTGCTTTGCCCCCTCCTCAAACAATAATCCCTATGGGGGAGACAGCCGGGGGAGCCCCACCTGCAGGCTGCCCCTGTGGGTGGGTGGGTGGGTGGGAGGCGGGCGTGGAGGTCCTCGGTCAGAGCCCCCACTCTCTCCGTCCTTGTGCTTCTCTCTCTCTCCCGGACACAGGAGTTCCTTCACCGGCCACTTCTCCGGCATCCTGCTTGGCCTGGCTCTGTCCGGCATCAAACTGCTGTGGGAGCTCACCTGACGGAGGCCCCCCTCCCCTTCCAGGCTCTGTGGCGGCCAGGCACCCCCTCCCCAAATACAGCCTCTTCCCTCCCCACACGGCTCTGCATGACGGTGGTCTCTGGGGATGGGCAGGATCTCGGACTCCAGACAGCCCCTGCGATCGCAATGCCCCCCCCCTCAATGCTGGATTGGGGCCCTGGCCGGGGCTGCCTCTGCACCAGTCTCCCAGCAGAGGGCGCCCTTGGCCACTTGCTGAAGGAAGGCCAGGGGGCAGACAGACACCAACTCGGCTTCTACTGGTTCAGCCTCTAGGACTCCCCACCGGGCACAGGTGGAGGCTGCCCCAAGGAAGCCCCAGGAACAAGAGGGGGCCCCTGGGCAGCACCGGCTGGCAACTGGGGCTCCTGGGAAGGACCATGGGCATCAGAGGCATCCGTAGCAGCTCCGGGGGGGTCCAATTGAAGCCCTGTGGACTTCAACCCCCAGAATTCCCCAGCTGGCAGAGCCCGGACAGCCCCGGAGCCGAGACGACCGAATGGGCTCCCACTCAGGACTCTGACTTCAATTCCCCAGGGGTTTCCCATCAGCCCAGGGCCACCTAAGCACAGCCAGCTGGGAGGGGAGGGGTGGGGGGCCCAGCTATCAGGATGCCCCCCCCCATAGAATGTGGGCTGAAAAGGCAGCACCTCTCCAATCCGTCTCTTGGGGCGATGGGGGTGTTTCAATGTGTGAGCATCCCTCTGAGCGCCCCCCCCCCCACACACAGACACACAGACACAGAGTGGGGGAGCTCCGCAGGGGGCCGCTTGTGTGGTCCCCAAAAGAAAACAGCTGGGCACATCTGTTAAATCCACTTTCTCTCCTCGTATAGATTCTTTTATAGACATTTTGAGTGCAAGGCGTCTCGTCTCTCTATACATATATAGATTTGGTGAGCATAGATAAGATACAAGCTTTTAAAAACTTAGGTCCATATTTCTCTCCAAAATATAAACTCCAGTCTTCTTTGGGAAGGGGGGGCAGCAAGGGGAAGGACGGGGGGGGGGGCCTTCCAAAAAGAAAAACTGAGCACGGTGAGCAGACCCCCCCTCCCCCAAGGAGAGCCCTGAAATGAGGTGCAAAGGAGGGGCCCATGACACCCCCACCCACAGCCCCCCCCCACGGCCATCCGGAGACCCCCACCCACCCAGGCGGTGGCTTTGCTGCCAATGGGGGGCAGGGGGGGGGCGGAAGGGAGTGCAGATTCTCTGCCCTCAATTCGGGGGCTGGGGGGGGGTGTCAGAAAGGGGAGNTTCCCTTCCCACCAAAGGTGGCTCCTATTTTTCTACTTGCATTTCTTACGTCCTTTCGAACTGCTCGCTTGGCAGAAGCTGGGACGAGTCACGGGAGCTCCCTCCGTTACGCGGCGCTGGGGATTCGAACCACTGAACTGCTGACCTTTCTGATCAACAAGCTCAGCGTCTGAGCCCCTGAGCCACCCACGTCCCTTAAGTCACAAAAGGGGTCAAAATTCGCTTAGCAACTTTCTCAGCTAGCGATAGAAATTCTGGGCTGGATGGGGGTCGTAAGTCGAGGCCTGTCCGCATTTTCTTTCCCCGCAGAGGCCTGTGGGGCTGCTCAAGGCCCCTTTCCCAAAAGGCGACTGGATTTCCTTGTTCCTTTGTCCTCTTCTTTGGTTCCCCCTAAGTGGCAGCTGAGGAAGCTCCCCGGAGGAGAAGGGAAACGTTTTCACAGGAAGGCAAGGAAGCCCAGGGGCCTTTTGGGAGAGCAGCAGCGCTGGGCTTGAGGGGGCCAAGGAGAGGCCGCCTCTGGCTCCACCTTTCAAGGGTGCTCAGTGTGGCCCTACCCATGTTCTCTTCTGAGCCTTTCGCAAGGAAGGCAGCCCACAGCAAGGCAAGGGTTTGTCCCACCGGCCCTCAAACGTGGCTGCCCTCCTCCTCCTCCTCTGGCACCACTGAGGGTGACTTAATCCGCCCGTCTCAAAATCTCTTGGGTGCCCCACATCCCATAAAGGCTCCCCAAACTTTCCAGCTTTGCGGACCAGCAAGGGGTGGGGAGAGGAAAGAGTTTTGTGCGAGGGGCAGAGATGCACACATGCACAGCTCCATTCACACAAGCGATGAGCATTCCTATGCGTGTGACGGAGCTTCACACTCGCACACAGGCGCCCCGCCAGCCAAGGAGGTGGAGCTGCGGATGGACGCCCGCGTGGCCCCTGGGGTTGGGGAGCCCTGCCATAAGGGAGCCCTCCGCACGGGGCGCCTGGCGGGTACCTTAAAATCCAGGTCTATGTACTCTGGGGTGACACGGGGGTCGTTGAGAAGGGAGTAGTCGCTGCCCACGTACTCGTCCACGGGATTGCGCACTGGAGAGGGGGAGGAAAGGGTGAGGAGGAATCCCGTCGCACCAGAGTCCCCCCCCCCCCCGTCCTCTTTGGCAGGGAAAGGGCATGCTGCCCACCACTCACCGGGCACCGTGTCCAGCAGGGAGTTGAGGAGCACCAGCCCAGCGTGGTTGAGCGCAGGGCAGATCTGAAAGGCAGAGAGCTGGTGGGAAAAGGGGAGACCAGCCTCCCTCCAGCGGTGGCTCCGTCGCTGGAGCTCTTCCCAGAGAGACTGGACAGCCTGGTATAAGGCCTTGGGTAGGGGGGTTGGACTAGAAGACCTCTAAGGTCCCTCCCAACTCTATGATTCCACGAAACGCCAGAGATGGGGCGTCCAAGCGGGTTCTTTACCTAGGCTGGCTCCAAACTCCCACAGCTGCCAGGTGCCCCCACCAGTCTATTCCCTAAGGCTACTCCAAGTAGTAAAGTTCCCTCTGTGGCCGGAAGCCCAGTGGAGCCACTGAGAGAAACCCGGGACAGAGGAACAGAAGGGGGGCAAATTTCAAGGGTTTATAGGCCAAAATCAGGGTTTCCCTGCTCTACCCTGGACTCGGGGGAGACTGGCACACCTGCCACCTGTGCGCCACTCCCTTCGCCGTGGCCCAGCAGGGCCCACCTGTGGCTTTTTTGCTCACCTGTTGACTGATTATGTAGCGCATCCCTGAGGTGATGAGTATGGCTACGAATTCATAGACCTTTCTGGAGAGAGTCGGGAAAGGCTGGTCAAGGGGGGGAAGCTAGGAGTGTCTCCCCCTCCCCAGCTGCTGCTTCTGCCAATCTCAACGTTTTCTTCCTTGGCAGGGGAAGGCAGCCTGCTTGGCACCCTCTTGGCAGCCCCGGGCCCTGGCATGCCACCCCCGCCACAAGGCCCTTCCTAGGAATCCCCTTGACAAAATGGGCTCCCCCGGAGAGGGAGGGGCCGGTTACCGGAGGGTGCCGCTGAATCCGGCGTGCATCCGGGCGATGGAGGCGTTGCAGCTCATGTTGGCGATCTTGAGGCGGCCGCCCTGGTCCCGGGAGAGCCTCAGCTGGGTGTGGATGTTCACCCCTTCGGCCCACGCCTTGATGGAGCCGATGTCATAGCTGGGCAGAAAGGGGTGGAAGAAGGGGGGGGGAGGGAGGGGGCTTCAGACGCCAAGACAGCCCCTCTTCCTCCCTCACATACGCACCCTCCCTCCCTCCCTCCCTCTACAGACTGTACGGAAGGAGCCAGGGTCACATCCAGGCGGGAGAGCCCTGGGTTCGAAACGCTGGACTGCCGGACAGGGGTGGGGAAATATATTATAATTAGGAGGCTGAATTGGCACCCGGTTTTTGCTTTTAATGCGGTTGGTTTTAATACGCTCTGTATGATGTTGTTGTTGTTATTGTTGTTATCCCAGGGATGGTTACGGGTATTCCTCAACGTGCGACCACAATTGAGCCCAAAATCTATGTTGCAAAGTGAACCATAAACAGGTTTTGCCCCATTTTATGACCTTTCTTGCCACCGTTGTTAAGTGAACCACTGCTGTGGTTAAGATAGTAACATGGTCGTTAAGTGAACCTGGCTTCCCCTGTTTAGTTGACTTGGTTTGTCAGAAAGTCGCAAAAGGGGATCACGTGTCCCTGAGACACTGTGACCGTCATAAATACGAGTCTTTTGCCAAGCATCTGGATCAGTGTTTCTCAACCTTGTCAACTTGAAGATGTCCGGACTTCAACTCCCAGAATTCCCCAGCAGTGGTTAGGACAGTGTTTCTCAACCTTGTCAACTTGAAGATGTCCGGACTTCAACTCCCAGAATTCCCCAGCAGTGGTTAGGACAGTGTTTCTCAACCTTGTCAACTTGAAGATGTCCGGACTTCAACTCCCAGAATTCCCCAGCAGTGGTTAGGACAGTGTTTCTCAACCTTGTCAACTTGAAGATGTCCGGACTTCAACTCCCAGAGTTCCCCAGCAGTGGTTAGGACAGTGTTTCTCAACCTTGTCAACTTGAAGATGTCCGGACTTGCACTCCCAGAATTCCCCAGCAGTGGTTAGGACAGTGTTTCTCAACCTTGTCAACTTGAAGATGTCCGGACTTCAACTCCCAGAGTTCCCCCG